GATCGCGTTCAGGGGTCGAAAACCACATCTGGATATCAAAAAGTTAAGAAAGATCCGGACTCTGAGAAAACAACACACCCGCGGCGCGTAGGGCGGCACGTGGCACGCCGCGCCTGTACATTTTCCGGCTGCCTGACAGATTTTAACTCTCTAGACTTTCCCATTAATGCCCCGCCTGGCGCGTCGCCCCATGCGGCGCGCCTGTGCAATTTTTACAGAGTTATTATCCCAGTTCGCGCAGGAAAAGGTATTTTCGTCTAGGCCCGACCCTACTTAGTATAATTACATGTAAAAACATTAATTTATGGACTTTTGACACATCTAAGACCTAAGGAGGCTAGAGAGAAGGTGGAGAAGCGAAAGCACAAGGGATTCATCAATCAATCCCCACTCAAGACAAGAGTTTGTATCGTTTTATATTTTTCTTTATTGTTATGATGAATTACTCCATATCCATGGAGTAGTTCTCTTTAAGGTTGATGGATTTGGTATCTTGATACTTGTTTGTGGATAATTAACTCTAGTTTTTATGTATTGAATCGTTTTGGATGTTTTAATTGTTGCATCTATATTCACTTGTCCATTTAATCGAGAGAGGCATAACTTGTGATATTGTTGCATTATATTTTGTTGGTTGAAGTCATTAATTCTTCTTAGTAATCGGAAGAGTCTAGTTGAATTGTTGATTAAACTTAGTTAGGAGGATAATCGAGAGAGGAGTTTCTCCTAAAGACCAATCCACTACGAATTCTTTCATATCTTCACGTGCTTGAAATTGGTTCATCTTGTGAGGTTGAGACTTAATCGAGAGAGGCGTTTCTACTAATCAATTGAACTAATAACCAAGTGAATTCGAGAGACTCACTTGAAACTAGGGTGTAGTGTAATCAATTATTACACTACCTCTTAGGTAGTGTAATAATTCCCCCTTAGTTTTTCTTTGTGCCGCGGTTCTTTTCCAAGGGTTTTGTTTGAACCGGGTGTAGTTAGTTTTTGGTTTTGTAGAATAGTAGGAAACCTTGTGTTATGATTTGAATTGGAACCAATGTCTCTTGAATTAATTATGCCTTGAGAATAGTGAGTGCTTTAGTTGTGACGCTTAGGCTCAGTTTTTGACTCTTGCAGAAGTACCTTAAGTTGTATAAGTTTAACTTTGTTTAACTACCTTGACTAGAGTGTCTTGATAATCCAATCTTGAGTGAGTTATGTGCCATGTGTGTGTGAGGTTTCGTGTATTCTGTGCATTGCATTTGATGTCTAGAACTTGCCCCGTGTGTTTGCAAAGCGAAATAGTAGTTTTATTCAGTCTTGGAAGTGATATAGGCAATTCTTTGTTGAGCCAGTTATATATTTTAGCCACCTAATTGTTATATATCTTAGTTAACCCCTTTTGAGCCTGTAATCTTGTTTCTTTGGTAACCACATTACAAGCCTTACCCATTTGTTTGAATTAACCATTTATTTGAGCCATTTACTTCTCGTGAGCACTTGAAATTGTATGAACTTTGTAAAAGTTGAAGTGTGGGGTGATTGGGTTGATTTTTGAGTGGAGCTAATGAAATAAGGAGAAAGGTGCACTGTTTTGAAAAAGTAAGAGTCACTTAAATTGAAAAAGAAAAAAAATATATACATAGTGTATTGTTGTGAAAATTATTCATTGATAAGTGGTAACTCTTGATGTATTTGTGCTTAAAGAAATTGGGAGTTAATGTAAATTGATGTGAAGGTGGAGTATTGGTTTGACATAAGTGTGGGGTTTTAACAATGAGATGTATGTATTAAAGTGCTTAGGGAGGTGTAGTCACTCTTATATCTAAATGTATCCTACCCGTCCCGCAGCTTACATTACAACCAATTAAAGTCCTACTTGATCCTTGACTGAATGAGCTCAAATTAGTAGAGTAGTATACTACGGGCAAGCCTAGGGTACGTCTTTTGTGGCATATGAATGTTGTTTCTAAGAGTGAGTAAATTCTTTCTATCTTGAGTTCCTAATTGTTCTTAAATTCTATTATGTGTGGAACTACTCTCTATTGTTGTGTGGGGGCATTTAATTCATGAACGAAAGGTAATGTCGTTGACCTCTATGTTAGAGTAAGTGAGTAGGTTATAAATAATGTGTGGTACTTGTGAGTCAAATCTTGAGGCTAGGATGTTACACTATTGTGCTTAGTCTATTTTAAATATTCTTGGTATGATGAGTTAGGAAAATTGTTTAAAAAGGTCGTGTCTATATAAAGTGTGGTTTGATTGCTCGAAGACGAGCAATGGTTTAAGTGTGCGGTGTTGATGGTAGGCTATAATTACATGTTTTAGTCACTTATTACACTCCAAATTACTGCACTTTAATTGAGTTTGAGCTTTAATAGCTAGTGTTTTGCACTAATTGTGTATTTTATACCTTGTAGGAGAATTCCGAGCTATGTAAATGTTATGGAGATAATTTGAGTGATTTGGAGCTTTGAAGTCTGAGTAAAAGCCCAAAGGATAAAGCCGGGATCGCGTTCAGGGGTCAAAAACCACGTCTGGATATCGAAAAGTCAAGAAAAATCCTGACTCTGAGAAAACAACACACCTGCGGCGCGTGGCGCCTGTACATTTTCCGGTTGCCTGATTTATGTTAACTCTCTGGACTTTCCCATTAACGCCCCGCCTATCGCGTCGCCCCATGCGGCGCGCCTGTACAATTTTTACAGAGTTATTATCCTAGTTCGCGCGGGAAAAGCTATTTTCGTCTGGACCCGACCCTACTTAGTATAAATACATGTAAAAATGTTAATTTATGGACTTTTGACACATCTAAGACCTAAGGAGGCTAGAGAGAATGTGGAGAAGCTAAAGCACAAGAGATTCATCATTCAATCCTCACTCAAGATAAGAGTTTGGATCGTTTTATGTTTTTCTTTATTGTTATGATGAATTACTCCATATCCATGGAGTAGTTCTCTTTAGGGTTGATGGATTTGGTGTCTTGATACTTGTTTGTGGATAATTAACTCTAGTTTTTATGTATTGAATCGTTTTGGATGTTTTAATCGTTGCATCTATATTAACTTGTCCATGTAATCAAGTGAGGCATAACTTCTGATATTGTTGCATTATATTTTGTTGGTTGAAGTCATTAATTCTTCTTAGTAATCGGAAGAGTCTAGTTGAATTGTTGATTAAACTTAGTTAGGAGGATAATCGAGAGAGGAGTTTCTCCTAAAGACCAATCCACTACGAATTCTTGCATATCTTCACGTACTTAAAATTGGTTCATCTTGTTTGGTTGAGACTTAATCGAGAGAGGAGTTTCTACTAATCAATTGAACTAATAACCAAGTGAATTCGAGAGACTCACTTGAACATTAGAAGTGAATTATCTAGAGTTAAACTCCAAACATTTATCTGGCACCTATCCTATCAACCCTGTCTTCTCCCAATTGATAACTTTCTTTGCTTAATACTTGTGTTGATTGTCATTAGTCGATAGTTTAGACTCTTAGTTAATTTTAGTTTAAATCACATAAATCTCCATTGTTGATCATCCTGGATAGCAATATAGCTACAAACTACGATAGTACTATTTAACTCCAATCTCTATAGATACGATATTATAATTTACTATATTCGACTAGCGAGCATATTTTAATGTGTGTTTTGCGCTCGTCAAAGTACTAGCATTCATCTAAAAATTTGAGACCGTCCATGTTGTCTAAGAATTCATGACCTTCTCTTCAAAACTGAACTGCGACCTTGTGCATACAAATTTCAATCCCACACGATGCACTGCATCTATCATGCTATCATATGAAAACACGAGAACCCCATTATCAACCCTGAGTCACAAGTAGGATACCTACTCAATCAGCCAAAAACCTTCCACTTGATCCCATCCAGGAGATAATCACAGCATGCAACATACTCATCATGCTTGTAGAAGACACTCATCTCAAGCCGCAATCGAGATACCCACTCTGAAGAGGCCTTCTGTGAATCCGAGATTGTTTCTCTAACCTCTCATATACTGAAATGTAGAATTAACAATGGCACAGAAGTACCGCAAGTCGCAGCACTAACCCATGCAAACCTTAGATCTTAGCCATATGAAATTTTGGGGAAATCCTCCCATACCACATATATATCTCAGACCAAAACTACTATAACACGTGACCATGCAATCTAATCGTCCGTAACAAATTCTCCCACTTGGCGCGAAGCCATATGACACAACATCCGATGATCCACAATACCAGCCTCCTTAAGCTCATGTAGCATCAATCGTAAGATACACCAAATTATCTGCTAAGCGCATATCCAACCTCGTGACAGTCATGCCCGTTTTCCTCAAGTGCCTTGAATAATAATATATACCTTCCACTGAATAGAAGTCTCATACAAAACACATAACCTCTAATACCGCCGACCAACCTCGAATCAATATTCTCCCATGACCCTACAATGATCATGATGACTAGGCAACCAAATAAATATTCCCAAGCTTGTACTCACCAACCAGATACAAGAATCCATTGCATCCCACACTTGAATAACTGAAGATCTACCAACACGTCCGCGTCCTCAATCGAGACAACACCTCGAGACAATTATCAAACATCTATGGCCCTCTCGTAGCCCATTCGCAGCATCACAAACCGTCAGTGCATAGATGATACCGGGTGCGCAATGTTGTATACGAATGGATGCAAGGGTATGTAAGTATGTGCTTCAAGCTAAATCAATGTCGAACGATAAGGAATGAAAGAAGTGGAATTTCCTAATAATTTTGTAGCCTCTCAAAGATAAGTACCGAAATCTCCGTACCGATCTGCAAGACTCTACTAAACTTGTTTATGACTCGTACCACCTATGAACTTAGAGCTCTGATACTAACTTGTCACGACCCAAAATCACACCTTAGGAATCGTGATGGCACCTAGTCTCTAAGATTAGGTAAACCTAACACATGATGAGATCTAACAGAGATAACCATCTTAACTATATAAAACTCAAACCGATAAATGAGATAACGTAACTAAAACTGAACAAATGTTATACAATCCCCAGAACCGATAGTACAGAGTCATAAGCTCTACCGACATACACTAGAATTTCTAAATACAATAATATTCTGAAATGAAGATAAACAACAGTAAAGATAATATCAGAAGGTGACTCTGAGGCATGCGAACGTCAAGAAGGTATACCTTGAAGACTCCAGACGTGCAAACACAACTCTCAAGAACCAACACGATCAGAAGTGTCTGGATCTATACAAAAATGTACAGAAGCGTAACATGAGTACATCACAGCGGTACCCCATAAGTATCAAGAGTAACCTCAATGGAGTAGTGACGAGGCAAGTCGAGACACTCACTAGACATAAAACATGTGCAAGATATCAACATAAAGCTAGCAATAGAAAGAACATCAATGTAAGGCTAACAGCGTAAAGATTATTAATATAAAACCAATAGAGGAATAGTAAAAACACAATTGACAACAAGAAGTAAACGGGTAATAAAGCAGCAACATAATACGAACACAGATGAAATATAAATGAACTCAAATTTGGAAAACATGTGATAATTCAAGTAATCAAATTGTTCCCAACGCATGACTTACAACAAGAATTACCCCAAGACACCACACCTTGTAACCACAAATCATAAGCCACAAATCCAAATCTTACACGCATGACACCTCGTGCCCACATTATCAATCACCTTCGCACGGCAAAGTCCACGTGCTACCATGTACATTGTATCCATGTCAAATGTCAAATAAAATATTCGAGAGGTTTATTTAAATACAATAAGTCATAATAACAATTTTGAATAAAGGCGTCAAATGAGATAATGAGTTTATTTTAAAAAATAAATAAAGTAAAATAAAGTACAATTTATACAGAAATAGAATATCAAATGAGTTTAGTTTAGAAATCAATAACATAAAGTAAAATAGCGTATTAAAATTAAGAAAAATATCAGATAAGTTAACGAATTAAATATAGAATTTGTTAAAGTAAGACGTGATAACAATTTCACGTAAAGTAAAACATCAAATAACGTAATGAGTTTAATTTGAGAACCCAATTAAAGTAAAATGTGATAATCATTTGAAAATAGCAAAGCACCGAATGAGATAACGAGTTCTATCTTAAGAGTCACATAAAATAAAGCATGTTAATAATTCTTTTATTTAAAACTATTATGTTACCAACAACTCAGCAGAGTATGAGATAATGACTCCGCGTAGGCAAATTCATCTAGAAACTCAATTCACCAAGTAACACGAAGGCACAGGTTGGCACATTAAAGCAACACAGCAAATCACGTAGAATGCATGACTCATATAAGAAGTCACAATCGTTCTCATACAAAATAACAACAAATAACCAAATACAATCAAAATACAAGTGAGATGATTTAGGGAAAAACCATAACCATTCAAATCAACAAGCCTTTCAAATGTAGAATGTACAACAAATTCACATTGAGGTACCACACCTTATATTCACAATTCACAAATCACAATCACAATATTTTATTATATCACCGCGTGAGCCTTACATTTAGATTTTTGAAAATATTTTTTCCGAAATAGCTACACACGCTTTAGCCCCCTTATGTCGCAGCGTGGCTTCAAGCAATTCCTATACTAGCAACACGCAAATAAATTCTACCTTATGTTGCCGCATGCACATCAACCCCTATCCTTATACCTCTGCATGCGCATCAATATCACAACACAATAACACATGGCACCACACGCGCCCATATACCATAACTTGCCAAAATCAACAATATCAATTTTACCAGAACACATAGCCCACGGCTCAACCACAATGTATACAACAATCTCAAAATAAACAAATGAATGAGAAATACTTAACAAGGAAAGATATCTTAATAAACAACAACCTCAACCTCAATGTGCTAATAGCTTTCACGAATTCAACTTCAATAACTCAAAATGAAGGTATTCCCGCGAAATGACAATTTTCAATTCAAATGTATAACATAAGCTTAACAATGAAAGAGATAGTATGAAATAGTAACTACGTCTAAATACATGAGAATAACTCAACACGAAAAAATTTAATGTAATAACAACTCCGAATAAGAATAACTCAACAATAAAGGGGGTAACATGACATAAAAGAGGTAACATCTTCAATACAGGCATATAAGAGCAAATTTGACAATAAGAGATAGAACATGTACTAACAACGTCAAACAAGGCATGTAAGAGTAAACTAAACAATGCAAGATATAACATGATATGAAAATATCAATTAAATGCATGAAAGAAGCCTAAGAGCCTAAACCGGTCAAAATATCACATATGAACCCGTGTAAATACTTGTCACCTCAAGTCAACGTCTCCCAGACAATTCAATTAATACAAACAACTCAAATCCTAAGGGGTAGTTCCCCCACACAAAGTTAGGCGAGATACTTACCTCAAACAAGCTAATTCAATCTACTAATAAGCCATTTCCGTAAAAATCTACTTCCGGAAGGCTCAAATCGAGCCAAAATAACTTAATATCATAAATAAAAGCCGTAGGAAACAAATTCAGATAATAAAGATTCGATCTTTAACTAAAATCAAAAAGTCAACCCGGGGCTCGCAGCTCAGAATCCAACAAAACTCATAAATTCCGAACACTCATTCTGATACGAGTACAACCATACCAAAGTCATTTAATTTTGACCTCAAATCAGCCTTCAAGCCATCAATTTATGTTTTAGAAAGCTTTTACTAAAATTTCCAATTTCTCCTTCAAGTAAATAATCAAACACTAAAATCGAGGTTGAAATTATGAAGTAATAACAAATATAAGTTAAAAATACTTACCCCAATCCAAGTAGTAAAAATCCCCTCCAAAATCGCCCAAATTGAGCTCCAAAACCTTGGGAGAAAAAATATCTAAATTCTGAAACAAGAAAAAAAATGCAGCAGTTGTCCCAGCTCAAATCAGGTCCTAGATGATCCCGAAACTCACGTTGGATAAGCCCAACATGATCCTTGCAAGATTGTACCCAAGATAGTCTCTTGAATAACCTAATTTGGCCTTAAAATGAGGAAGATATGATGTTTTGAAGTTTTAAACGAAGTCGGAAGATTTCAGGGACATAAATGGCATTTTTTAAATTATTTACACCAGGAAAAAAAACCAGCAGTAAGAAAATCTTCGTTTTAGCACCCAAAACTCATTCGGAACCTCCCGGACACAAACCATATATGCATTTCAATCATAAATCACGCTACGAACCTGCTTGCGCACTCAAAACACCGAAAAGAGGTCATCTTGACCTGATATTGACCATGGTCAAACTTCAAATTATTAACTTAACTAGTTTCTCAACGAATGATCCAAAACACACTTGAGCCCCTCGGGACCCCATCCAATCATACCAACAAGTACAAATACATCATCCAAATTTATCCAAAGCCTAAAAACATCAACGGGAACATCACAACAAAGAATCGAGGCTCAAACCGAATAAAATTTCTCTTAAATTGTTAAATTTTCATTCTTTCAAAAGAGTGTTCGAATCACACTGAAAAACTTCAGATTATTTTCAAACTTTGCGTACAAGTTCAATTCAACTATATAGACCTATCCAAATTCTCGGAATACCAAATGGAGTCCAATAACATCAAAGTCAACTCTTGGTCAAACATATGAACTCTTAAGTTCTTCAAATTGCGAACTTTCGACAAATAGTATCAAATTCTTCTAGGAACCTTCGAAACCAAATCCGAACAGACGTACAAGTCCAAAATCATCATACAAACCTATCGAAACAATTAAAACCTAATTCCGAGTCAATTTACCCAAAAGTCAAATTTTGGTCAACTCTTCCAACTTAAAACTTCTAAAATGAGAATCATTCTTTCAAATTATTCCCGAACCGCTCGAAAACTGAAACCAACCATACACACAAGTTATAATACATAATATGAAGCTACTCAAAGTCTCAAACCACCAAATGAAATGCAAAAGTTCAAAACGACTGGTCGGATCGTTAAATTGGGCTATTAGTAAGGGGCTTAGAATCTGATTGTCTCACCAGGTACTCATCTTTGTCTAAAAATATCACTTAAATTATTAAAATGTTAAGAGAAGAAACATATACCCAACATTAAAAGTCAAGAAGTAAATTAACCAAGAGAAAATCAAGAGTAGACACTTTTTATGGATACAACTGATTTTTATAGTTGCACAATTGCAACCAAAATAAGCAACAAAGTATGCTAAGGAAATGGGAAGTGGTGGGTGTTATATTAACAAAATAGGGCAAGTGGAGCAAAGCAACATGGAAATTTGGTTGTAAATTTCGAGTCATGCGACTTGACTTTATCAATTCCAAATTCCAAAATCATGAAAGTGGATGACCTAGAGAGCCAACTCTTATTCCATTATTCTCTCTATCTATATTGAAAACCACAAATGCATTTTCTTTCATGGTAGTCAAGGGAAATAAGGATATCAATAATGGAGATAGCCTCCTCTTTTCAGCTTCTAGCATTTTTGCCTTGAAAGCCCACATCACTTCAGAACCTTATCAAATTCTTTTAACAAACTAGTCTTCTTCAACCTCAGTTTGTAATTGGATCAGAATCACTTGTGGCTTTCGTCATCAAAGAGTTATTTCATTGAATATTTTGGACATGGGCTTAACTAGTACAATCCCACCACAACTCGGCAACCTTTCTTTTCATGTTTCACTTGATCTAAGCTGGTGGAATTTCCATGGTAAAGTTGTAAGTTACTTCTTCATTTAAGTGGTCCACATTCATGTGAAAGACCATTTCTTATTTTTCTTATTTATTGTTGAGAGTATATGTATTTACCGAACGGGCTAGACCAGGCTGGGTGGGGAAAAAACAACCGTCCAGTTAAGGGTGCGGGCTAGTTAGTAGGCTGGGGGATCGGGCTGTTAGTGGGTTGGGATATTTTGGGTTTAGTTAGGCCCGTTTGGGTTCAGGCCTACCTATATGCTCATTTCCCCTCCAATCGGAGTGCAGGTCCTCGTCGACCAGGTAAGTATATCACCCCTTAATCCGTCTTTCCTTTCCCTCTCTCGTTCTCCCCCCTTGCTTTTTGTCCCTTTTTATCCCCTGTATCTCTCTCTCCTCCCATCTCTCTCTATCTCTTTCCTAGTCAAGATCCGCCTCTGTTCCTTATGTGGGTTTGGATGAGGCGCTTCTGGCATGACTTAGATGGGTTGGTGCGGCGAATTTCGCATATCGAGAAACTTATCATAGAAGGAGATTTCAATGGCCATATTGGGACGTCATCTGGGGATTATGACGGGGTATATGACGGCTTCGATTTTGGTGTCAGAAACAGAGGGGGTACT